TTTCTTGTTATTTTCGGCCTGGTCCCTTTTTGTCCTCGCTCTTTTGATTTCATTTTCTCTTTCCTATATTAGACTACTGTTTCTTTAATTTTCTCCTCTGTTTCTCTTTTTCTCTTTTCTCTCTTTTTCTCTTTTCTCTCTTTTTTTTCTGTGCCAGATGGCCTTGTTTCTGCTTGCGTTGTTACGCACCAAGATTGAACCAAGGAGGTGTACCTCATCATTCTCTCCGGCCCGTGATGGTGACCCCTAGTCTCAGTTGTTACCTTGCAAAGCGCGCAGAGGGAGTGGAGGACTCCACAATATCTGTCGTTGATTTCTATTGACTTGCGGACCCCTCGGGGCCATTTTATTTGAGTGTACCTTTTGAGGGTAAGTTAGCCTGCGACCACGGGAATCAACCGCGTCGAGTGTTGTATCAGCATGGACATGCGAAGGTACTGGATAGAGAGAGATCGGAACGGTTTTTAATGTGAAGACAACAACAACAACAATGGGCGCCTTCTGTGACTTCGAGAAATCGACCGCCATCGTGATTTGCGGGATGCTGCTGTGAGCACCATGGACGGGCCGCTGCAGATGCCTCACAAGTGGAAGGACATGGTGTACTACACGACCCTTGGTTCAGGTGTGTATCTAATGTGGCTACATCAACTCGTATCACGTACTGCTGGTCGTGTGATGGCACGCCCGACCATCATGTGGAATGTAGCAAATAGTTGCAACGACTTTTTTCATTTTTTATTTGATGCAGACGTACTCACGAAGACAGCAGTAGAGTAGGCATGTAATGCGAGTGAAAGGACGCACTTGCGGGCCTTTTCTGTCCACCGAATGAGANCTCGTATCACGTACTGCTGGTCGTGTGATGGCACGCCCGACCATCATGTGGAATGTAGCAAATAGTTGCAACGACTTTTTTCATTTTTTATTTGATGCAGACGTACTCACGAAGACAGCAGTAGAGTAGGCATGTAATGCGAGTGAAAGGACGCACTTGCGGGCCTTTTCTGTCCACCGAATGAGAAATACAGGTGCTGTGGGAGAGGTCGATTGGACCGGAGCTGGCATTTTGGCATGTACGACGCACATATATTATCTGAAGAGGAGCGTTGATAATTTTGATCAAGCGGTTGCAGGCGCACCAAGTGCGGTGTTCGTGAGTGGCAGTACCAGCGATCCACCTGCCACCTGCTATGTTGACGATTATGGATAGTTCTAGCCACCTTTTGCAACACGGGTTGGAGTCAGGGTTAGTTTTGCTGGCAACAGCAGTAGTGCTATTCGCGAAAGTTTGCTGGCAACAGCAGTAGTATTCGCGAAACCATTCACCTCCCTCCAACGGTGTCTCCATGCATGCACGTGGCTTATGGTTTGCGGCCGATGCATGTTAGATATCTGGGCGTTACTCTCTGAAAAAGGGCAAGGCTTAGCCATGAGTCTCCGGGACGTCTGCGATTTGTTTGTGGGTGGAGACGCAGACAGACACACACCGACATCACCCGCAGCAGCAACAGCGGGAGATAGCCGCCTCCGCCTACGCCGCCGCCGCCGCAGCAGCAGCAGCGGAAACAGCACTATTAGTCGACAACACCTCTGCTTGTACAGACATTCCAGCCCCGAACGAATTCGCTGCCATGCCTGAATCAGAGGCAAGAGGACGACACGTTCGCCACGAGACAAGGTGCTGCTCCGCCTCCAGAAATGCACACAAATAGCGGACTTCCTCTCGCTCCCACACGCGCTGTTGCCGTTTGAAATGTATCGCAGGCACCTCCAAGGCGAAGACCTTCATGGAGAAACCGTCGACCGTCCTGACCAAGTTCAAGAGCTACAAGGCCGAGTACACGAAAGTGTGGCTCTGGCTTGACACATAAGTCTTGCAGGCAAGTCGGATTCCCAGCGCAGCGTATTTCCCTCTCTCGTGGCGTCGCACACTCCGAAAACCGGGAGACGAAAGCAATGCAACCCTAATTTCGTGTGTGGAAAACAAAATCGACGGTGCTTGACGTGAGGATCTTCGTAAAATCACGAGGCTTCTTTATGCCTGTGTTGGTCAAGCATGTGTGTGCGTGCGTGTGTTTGTCGTAAAGTAGTCTACACAAAACGGGAGGATGAAGNAGGTGCTTGGCGTGAGGATCTTCGTAAAATCACGAGGGTTCTACATGCCTGTTGGTCAAGCATGTGTGTCCATGCGTGTGCTTGTCGTTACGTAGTCTACATAAAACGGGAGGATGGAGTCACACACACACCTTCATTGGTCAGCCGGTTACCGCGGTCGATGCCAAAAATCAAAATACAAACACACGCATAGCGACAGAGACATGGACAAGGGAGGAGGGAGACACACCACCGGGAGAGCGAGACGGGAGGGTGTGCCCTGTACTACTGCTGTTGGCTATCGGTGGAGTAAGCGAGAGAAGCGAAGAAGCGTTTGGTTGTTGTGCGTCGTTGTTGTTGCGCGCTTTTTGCCAGCAGCGTTTTTTTTTTCGCGTGAATCAGCGAGAGAGGCTCTTCTTGGAAGAGAGAGCCACACCAACACGCTACTAGACGCCACCATTGATTGTGCATGCACTGCTGTGCACCTCTCTATACTTTTGTGCGAGGGCCTACTGCTGTGGTGTGTCACCTGTGCCTTCCTTGCTAGTCTGGTCACCTGTCACACGCGTGCCTTTGAGTTGCCAATTCAAAAACAGGAAAGAAACGTTTAGATAAAGGGCACATGTTTTTTTTCTGCTAGATGATTGCCACCCCCCCGACGACTCGAAACGCACCAGCCTACTGCAGGTATATAGCTTGTACTTCCCACCCTCTGGTTTTGCCCCGCAAAATGAATGACATGACGTAGTTGGGCGGGCCTCGTCGTAAACAAAAAAATAACGAAGCCGGGACAGCAGCAACACTAAAGGTTGAAAACTTGTTGCTACGCATTGTCGAAAACACTGCTGTAATATAATTACGTAACCGCTCACCGCGAATCCGTTTTGTTCCCTGTGCGTCTTTTTTTTTTGTGTCAGGAACGACAAGAACACACCGTCTGAGCTGCCGTCTGGGACCAACACTCAAGACTCCCTAGAGGAGCTCAACGACGCCATGTGGTTCGAGTCGGACATGTACAAGCGGGACAAGGCTAGATCGGACAAGGCAGACGCTGAGGTTGCGGCTTTCCCCTCTCGGGGGGCGGCGGGGAGCGTCGACGCCGCCGGCTCCCCAGCCGGCTCCCCCGCTACCGGGGCCGGCGCCGGGGAGAGCGTTGACAGAGCAGGAAGTCCACCTGCAGGTCAGGGACCGGCGGCGCAAGCGGCGTCGGCTGAGACGGAGGTCCGCCAGGAACCGGGAAGTACGCCGATGTCGTTGGCCGCCGCCGCCGCCGCCGCCGCCGCAAACATCCGCCGGGAGCAGGAGCGAGAGCAGGATAAGGGCGGGGACGAGGGCGAGCACGAGGGCGAGGAGGTGCCTGAGTGGTGGGTCTTCCCCTTCCTGCTTCTCACAGCGGCGTACAGCCCTTGGAGCGGTCAGGCCCCGTCGGAGTGGAAGCACCTCGACTCTTCGGACGGACTGTCTAAAAAGCGGACGGGCGGGGACGTCACCGTGGACTCTGAAAACCCCGTGTACAGCCCCGCGGTGATGTCTCGCCTCAACCCCAACGGCGACGCTTTGAGCCGCCGCCAACACTTCGCCGCAATCAAGCGAGAGAAGGAGGAGGAGAGGAAAGCAGCGGCCGACAAGGAACTTCAAGAAGCCCGGAAGGAAGCCCTTGAGACGAAGAAGGGCCCGGCCGCCTTAGAGGCTGCGAACACACACGTCGACTCCATAGGCGCGAACATGAAGAGGATGGTCGAGCTCAAGGAGGCGGAGGCTGTGGGCATCAAGCGTGAGAACAAGATCAAGGCCCTCGAGAAAATAATTATGCTGCGTCTGGGGGACGAGACAGAGAACCGGGCGGAGCTCGAGTTCTTGCTAAACGAGTGTTAGTCATCCCATTACGGTTGTCTTGCGTGTTGGCATGTGATCGTTGTTCAAAGAAAGGCCGTTGTGTGTTCATTATCTCGGTGTTTTTTTGAAACAACAGGCGCAATAGAATACCAACTCTTTCGCACGTGACCAACATGCAGGGAGGGGGGAAGGGTGGGGGTGGGTTCTTTTAACACCATGTCTAAAATAATAGAGGACTTACCGTCATTTTATCAGGTCGCTCATGTGTTTATCTTCAAGTTTGAAAGGTTGATCTGAATGCATAAACACGACACCAGCTTGTTGTGGGGGGGTACCGCTTATGGGCATGGAATTGGTTGAGAGGATCAACCGAGTCGAAAGGCCGAGTGTGAGAGGGGCGTGCATCGTGACATGTAGAAGCTGGCCGGGAGATACACTATTTGGGAGGGGGCATGGCCTTTTCGAGGTTGTGCATACGCAGCAGTATTTGCAAAATTACTACTGGAATGACAAGTGTTGTACTACTGATTCGAAGGGCGAAGGCTTCGTGTCTGGTGGTTCATACGTGGGTCTACCATTTGGGAACATCAGGCGCGTACGTGATTGTGGTTGCTAAGATTTGGGTCTGGGAAGCTTCGACGTCTACCAAAGTGAGGTAGCAACGACGCGNCATTTGGTTGAAAGCGAATTGTTCAATCTTTGTGCCGCGAGCACAACGATCCGAGGAGCGCCGCTCCACCTCTCAATCCACTGTTTCATCAGCATGATCAAAAGCAAACCTCGGAAAACTACCCAAAATGTCCCAANGTACCCTTTCCACGCCATCATTTTTGTGCTTCCGGATGCCACAGGCAGCTCCAATATCAAATTTCAGTGTCAGACTCCATTTGGTTGAAAGCGAATTGTNTATTGGCAAAAATAAACAATATTTCTCGAAAAACACGTGTAGCGGGGCCGATATATCGGCCGCTCGAGCGTGTCATAATTTACGGTGAAGCACATAGCTTTGCCGTCGTGCACCGTACGGTGTACCCTTTCCACGCCATCATGTTTGTGCTTCCGGATGCCACAGGCAGTTCCAATATCAAATTTCAGTGTCAGACTCCATTTGGTTGAAAGCGAATTGTTCAATCTTTGTGCCGCGAGCACAACGATCCGAGGAGCGCCGCTCCACCTCTCAATCCACTGTTTCATCAGCATGATCAAAAGCAAACCTCGGAAAACTACCCAAAATGTCCCAAAGCATGAAGGGCAGAATTATGGACAGAAAACCGAACGAAAAGCTGTTTGAAAATAAGAACGCCCAAATCTACATGGAGGACAAAACACAGAGCAACGACTGCCTGAACGAAAAACAGCAAGTCCGGAACCTTCGTGGATATAAGGCAGTAGCTCGACATAGAACAAGAACAAAAGTAATGCGCGGCAGCCTGCCCCCATGAGAACCAACTGCTGTGTTTGAAAACAAAGTCCGACTACGTGACTGCTGTGCGCGACAGCAAAATGATCGTCAAACGAAGCTGAGGGACGAAGGTGGCGTGGTGGGTGTCCCCAACCCAAAATCAAACACCACGCGGGAGCTGACGCTTACCCTTACCCTGATACCGCTGGAGCTCGGGACAAAGAACGTCTTCAGAACACCAAAAGCAGATCGCCACATGCCGCTAATGCTAGTGACAGATGCAATCACGCCCTTACCCTATCAGACGCACGCCAAAAAAAAACAAACAACACAGAGAAATATTTTAGGGTTCGCCCATACACGCCAAAAAAAACAAAACGACTCCCCACCCCCATACCTCCCCCTCGGTGTTTACTTTCGGGGTTGGGTTTTCGTCGCTTGGAAAAGACGTTGTAAAGCAAGCCAACTCACTTCGTGAACTCGGCAACCAGGTTACCGGTTTTTTTTTATCTCTTTTTTTTTGGCGGTAACCATAGTGGTGGTCGAGTAGATCATGTTGTGCGGGGTCGAGAACCCTCACTCCGCGCAAGGGGGATCATCGCACCACGTTGTGTCACAATGGTCAAGCACCCTCGAGGCAGTTACACAGTGCTTACAACTGTCTCTGGAAGTGAAAGCACCAGAAAATAAATTAATTCATACGCAGCTGTCATCCGTACGCAAGGAAGTAAGCACAAGATGCCGAACACCCTTAGCAGGATGCAGCGCACCCTTCATGCGACTCGCCGAATATCTCACGGCGCTTCGCGCTTGGTGATGTGAGAGCCTGGTCCGGTGAGAACCCGGCGTGCTCCGTCCCGGCTTTGTAGGGATGCGAGGTGAATGGTCTAACGACTACGGCATGCACGACTATGAGTACACCCCCCCGTACCCCCATACCTTACCGACTACATGTACCACGTATATTCTAAACCTCCGCCCACCCACGCGCACGTGAAGTGCGCGATGAGCTTCCTGCGAAACTCTTCGAAGTCGGGAGTCGGAGTCTCGCTTTCCTCATCCACGTCCATGGCCGCCGCCACTGCCGCCGCCTCCCCCAACCTCCCTGCCGACCCCACCCAATCGGCGTCCTCCTCCATCTCGTCGAGGCGGTTGAAGCTGTGGAGCATGTTGTGGAGAATGCACGCGGTGAAGCACGCGTTGTCACCCTTCTGTCGTGTGGAGAACAAGATGTCACCACCGAAAAGCCTCCAGCGCCCCTTGACTCTGCCGAAGCAACACTCGATGTCCTTGCGCATGCTCTCCAACCGCCTGCTCCAATCGTGCTCCTCGACGGTGTTGTGTGTCTTGATCGGTGGGATCAGAAGCGGGATCTGTGATACGGCAGACCGAAAACGACTATCGGGTGTTGGTTTAATGCGAACTTGTGTNACTCTTCGAAGTCGGGAGTCGGAGTCTCGCTTTCCTCATCCACGTCCATGGCCGCCGCCACTGCCGCCGCCTCCCCCAACCTCCCTGCCGACCCCACCCAATCGGCGTCCTCCTCCATCTCGTCGAGGCGGTTGAAGCTGTGGAGCATGTTGTGGAGAATGCACGCGGTGAAGCACGCGTTGTCACCCTTCTGTCGTGTGGAGAACAAGATGTCACCACCGAAAAGCCTCCAGCGCCCCTTGACTCTGCCGAAGCAACACTCGATGTCCTTGCGCATGCTCTCCAACCGCCTGCTCCAATCGTGCTCCTCGACGGTGTTGTGCGTCTTGATCGGTGGGATCAGAAGCGGGATCTGTGATACGGCAGACCGAAAATGACTATCGGGTGTTGGTTTAATGCGAACTTGTGTCGAAACAACGTGATCTGTCTCCAAGAACTGCGCAAAGGGGCAAGGCGTGCCAACAAATAATTCCTTGACAACTGAAAAAATAGACACTTACGCTCCCACCCCCTCCCCAAGCCAAAAATAACAGCTAGGATGGACGGGAATGCAAAACACGAAGTGGTACGGGTACACGTACTAAGTATATTACGGCAACGTTCTTGTCTGGCGGGTATGAACTGATCCCGGAGGGGAATAATACACACGGGTTCCCCACCATGAACGGAGCAACAGAAAAAGCAAGGACCGAACGCGACGGGGTTTCGCCAGAGGTTTTCGCACTTACAAACATGACGCTTCTGTGGGCGGGGGTATGTCAAAAATGTACCGGCCAGGCTAGTCACGCCCACCCACACCAACAACAAAAAAGTGGTCAACAACCAACAACCGAAACTAACCTTCGGGTACCCCCCGTCCACGATGATCCACGCCCCTGTGTACTCCGTCTCCGTGCCGTCGGCGTTGTAGAGGTCGAACTTGTATAATAGCTCTTCCACGGCTCCTCATCTCGTATTCGCCAGATGGACTTGTCCCGTGCGATGACCGTCTTGTCGTTCTCGGCTCCCGGGCAAGTCTTGGTTGCCGCGATGATGCGGCCAGAATGGTCACACGCGCACTCCACCACCAGCGACGTGTAACCCTCCTTGCCGGTGTGGGTGTTCTTCTCGGAGAACGGGCAGCCCGGCCAACGGAAGTGGGTGCAGTCCGTAGATCCCGTCGCCCCCGGGTAACCACACTTGCGGTAGATCTCCTCGACCTTCTTGAGTTCATCCCCGCGCGGGAGTTTCACCCAAGTGTCCCAGAGGCCCTCGGAAAACTTCTCGCAGA